TAGAAACCTTAACAGAAACTTTGAGAGAATTGGTCAAGTACAAACTGAGCTGCCTCCATACTCATCCAACCTTCAGCAGTGTTCTTCAGATGCTACTATTAAATAGTAGAAAACCCCTCAATTAAAACAGATATCCAAATAAAGACACTATCAACTCTCAGATAACTTTTTTTCCCTGGATAGAAGATGAATGCTACCTTAGGATTCAGGTATTAACAAACACAAGACTTGTTAAAACCCATCTTCAGATAATAGCATGGCTTAATATTTCTTGTTAAGAGGACAGGGAGGATAACAGATGTTCCACATCAACAACTGGTTTTAAAAATAAACCCTGCAGTATTTCTAAAGGCATGTTTAGGTTGATGAGTTCTATCTAATCCATGACATATCAAAGGTAGACCCCCCCCAGGGGGTTGTGTGTGCACAGTATGTGTATACAGCTTCAGTATTATCAGGCTGACATCTGCTCCATTAGGGAAACACAAAAATTGCCAACTCATGGCTTTGATGGTGGACGCAGAGCCCCAAGTTGTGTATGAATGCCCAAGAGCCCACCTCAGGAAGATTAGGTTAGACAAGTTCAACAACCATCAGCTACCATCCCCAACCTGGCTGAACAGAGCAGCTCCATCTGGGAACCATCATAAATTGCAATTTTTCAAGTTTTCCCCTCTTTTGCATTTCTAATCTGGAAAGCAACTCTCCTTGCAAGCCTAATAGAGGTGCTGGCCTCTCTGTTGAGTGGGATGAAGATCAAGCACTTAGGAAGAATGTCTGATAAACAACTGAGAAGTCATCTCCTGCTCCACCTGCAAGTCTGAAGGAAAGGTTATTTCTGGGAGGACAAGGCAGGGTGAAGATGGGAGGAACTGGCAGGGATGGAAGCTGCTCCTAACACAGGCACAACCAGGAAAGGAGCAGAAACCTTAAGCAGGCTCTCCTTGAGCTCAGCCTGGTCCCACTCCAGACAGGTTCTCTGTGCACAAGCCACAGGGCAGCTGAGCATCCCCTGAAATGCAGGGAAGGTGGGTGACCTGCTGCAGCCTGTGTCACTTGCTGGGATGCCACGGCAGGCCTCTGACAGCCCTGCTTGGGTAGAAATGGCAACTGTGCAAACCCTACACAAACCTGAGCACCACAGGGATGTGGTGAGTGGTCACCCTATGCACAGACCTCAGAGGAAGACAGAAACCTCCTCTTCCCAGCACTAACGTCACCCCTTTGCTAAATAAGGTGGTGAGGACTAAGGCCCACAGGTGTAGGTAGAGGTTGCTGTCCCAGCCCACCCTGCTGCTGCTCCCCCCAAAATCAAAGGTACTAACTGCGACAGCAGCAGGGACCCCAGCTCCAACAAACATCTCCAGCTGAGCAGAAACGGCGAATCATATTTTCTGTATGTTTAGGTGATCTCTGTTTCTTTTTATTAAATGATTTATTTAAAGCTGTTCTTCAGTCTAAACTTTTCCACATTCTACACTAAAAAACTGAAAAAAAACCCCAATCGTTGCCCTTTTTATAATATATTTCAGATTTCTTTTTGCTATCTTGGTTTTAAAAAGCCATGAAGTTATTAGTTTTTGAAGCGATGCAAAACTAAACATGCTGCTCTGAAAAAGCCCGTAATTAAGCAGGCTGTAATCATTTTTCACTATCTGGCTCCTTTTCAAAGCAAACGTCATTCTTTTGTTCCTCCTGAAGAATATTCTCATGGCAGCAGCAACCATGCTGATCCTAGGCATTAATTACTGTTTGGGAGAATGGAAAGGAGGAAGGCAAACAGAATGGAGGAGAGCAAATTAAAAAACACTATACATTTCCACAAAACACCTCACTGTGATATTTGAAAAAGCAGCTTACCAATACCTACCTACACAAAGCTTGTTAGAGGATTTATCTGCTCCTTTTAAGGACCTAACCTTGTAACAATGATCTTTAGCTGCTCAGCCTAAGGAAGATAGTAACATCAAAATATATTTTTAGTCTACAAAAAAAAAAGGTTAAAAAAATCACTGCTAAAATTATATATATAAAAACTCTTTGCCTGGGTTATTTTGCAAATGCCCCACAGAGGTCCAGTATTAATCTAAACTAACATTTATTTCTACACAATAGAGAATAATTAAAATTAGCCTGGGTATTAATGAGTTTCTAATGTATCCTCTTCAGGTGCTAGTGACAACTTTCAGACATCTAATGACAAGGTGTCTAACGCACAGAATGAGGGGAAACACAATCTCTTACCATGATCTAACTGTAAGCTACATGCTAGAACTTTTCACATGAAGTTGGAATCTGTAGAGTCTTTTTTTAAAATGTATTAATAGTTCGGTAATTATTAGTGCAGAACAGTAATTACTCAATCACTCACTAAGTCCATTTTGAAAGATCTCCACAGCAGCCAATGTTTCCTACTCTATTTCACACTAAGAAGCACTATTTCACTTGTATTGAGTAATATGCTCTTTGAGGTGAAGGCTGGAATCAGGCCTGGGAGAAAAAGATTATTTGAAGGACATAAAAATTTTATGTGTTTGGCACTCAAAAGAGTACAGAATGATCCGAGGCCCCACAGGGTGAGATTTATGCTATCAGTGTTTGTGTTCCATATTCAGCTGATGCTCAGAGCCACATCTGCCTGAGCCAGCTGAACTTCAAAGCTAAGAGCCTTGGCTTAATATCTCAGGTACAATAACATGCTAATACAGATATATGTATGTTTTAGGCTGGATCTGCCTCATGCTTAACCAGCTCAGAGCAGGTGCAAAACAAGCTAAAGGTTATCTCTGAAAATTCAATACATAACTAAAGAAGTTATTTATACAGATGGATAACAAAGAAGATCTGGTGACCTTTTCCAGTGAAAGAGAACTGAAATTTTAGTGACAGTATTAGAAGGTTGAGCAAAGCCTTTAGTTTTCTGAACTTTACAGATACAATATACACAGATTTTATATATGTATCTTGATATTCTATGATTATATAACTTGACTAGTGGTAATGAGACACTATTGGCACAAGAAGAAACTGAGGAATCCAGAGCATTCAGGATAAAATCTGAAATAAATACAATCCAAAATTCTTTCATATCTCCAGCTGCTTTTCAAGGGACACTATAGTCCAGAATCTGGACTGAAAAAGAAACACAGACACATTGTCTATGTATATATACTTCAGAATTTGTTCTTGCATATAGTAGCACAAACAGCATCCCAACTCCCACATACTATATGCACATATGTACATAAGCACATACGTGTGTGATCACGTACAGCCTTTAAATCAACAGTTAAAAGCTTTGTACTCTTTTACAGCCTGGTCTGTTCCTATCTCAACTTTCACACATCCTGGTGTTAAGCATAAGAATGAGTGAGCTCTTGGCACCTCTTGAACTCTGATGCCTCCTGGACTTGCCAGGTTCCTTCATTTTACCTTCAGGAAATTTAATCATGTTTATGGATAATATTACAGTAATAAAGCTTCCAAGGCAGGTGACAGGGTCTGTGAATTTACATCACAAGTCAGGAGAAGGATTTGTTGCATTTCCTGATGTTTTTATATCTATATATCTCAGTACTTTTCATCTAAAATAGATTGTAACACAACATCACCACGGCATAAAGCAACACTGGATTTACAAGTTGCGCTCCTGTGACATCACATCCATCAAGAAAAAAAAGACATATTTTTTGGGATCAACAAAACAGTTAATAAGACCATAAATTATAAAAATATTTATCTAAGCATGCTAATCTATCATGCTAATCTTGAAGCATTAAGTGTAAAATACAACACTTAACAGGCCAAGAATGTCAAACATGCAAACTGATAATTGTTTGAACTGGTCTCTCTATGCTTGATCTAACATTGCCAGTTTTCCATCAACCATACCACATGGATAGAAACTTAAATAATTATAGCATACAGAAAATACTATATTATTTGTGTGTTGATAGATTATATATTAGCATAGGGATAGGTCTGAGGGATAAAAACTTCTGATGGAAAGAATTCAAATTCAAAACAACTCTCAATAACTCTGGATATGAATCAGCAGCATAAGGAAAGACAGAATGAACATCATTTTAATGAATATTTCCTGAAAATTCAGACCTTCTCGTAGATACAATGACATGAAAAGAACCCAAACAAAATACTATTACTGGAATACCTCTGAAGTCACTGCTCATGAGAAAAGTTTGTTATTCCCCTAAAAGTGGAATCACTGTCTTAGTCACCAGCCTTGGAACAGAACCAAGGGGTCAGACAACTGTATTCAGGTTAAAGGCCAATCTGAACTTGTCAGGATTTGATCCTGTGAGTCAAAATTTCATCTGCATTTCTTGCAATGCAAATTAGGAACATTGGAAGAGATTATCACAAACCTGATAATTACTCCTCCCTGTCTCTGAAAGAAGCCTCCACAGGCTCAATGGGATGAATTTTCAGATTAAGTCTTGTAAGAAGGAATGATGAAAGAAGGGCAACCTTGCTATACTGGGGGAATGACAACAAGAAAGCTCAGTGTTCAGTGATTGTTTGGGGTTTCTTTTTCGGGTTTTTTGTGGGGTTTTTTGGGGGGAAATATAGAGGGAAATAGAAGTTCATAAGACCCCAAAAAACTTATTATAGGTAGAAATATAGTTAAAAATAAGATTGGAGACTTGTGAAACACCTCTGGAGTAACCAACTCTTCTGTGGGTTCTGTGCCTCTGTACCCTTTTTCCTCATCCTGAGTTTTTCTCATACATGGTATAAGAGAATGCTGCCTCTTAATATGTTAGCCATATATTCTATTAAAACAGACCAACAAAAAATCCAGATAAGCAGCAACAATGTGATCTTAATTCTTGTTCATGTGATTGCTTCCTTTGTATTACAAGTTCAAGAGATTTCCAGAAGGTTGGAGAACCTTTCCATAAAGTATACACATTTAAATGACTAGGGCTCTTCTCAGACACAATCAAGCAGCGAACAGACGGAAGGTGTCCTTAATAACTTAGAATCACAGAATGCTTTGGGTTTGAAAGAACCTTAAAGACCCCTTTCTACTCCCCTGCCATGGGCAGGGACACCTTCCACTAGCCCAGGTTGCTCTAAACCTCATCCAACCTGGGCTTGAACACTTTCAGGGATGGGGCAGCCACAGCTTCTCTGGGCAACCTGTGCCAGGGCCTCACCACCCTCACAGGGAAGAATTTCTCCCCAATATCCCATCCAACCCTGCCTTCTGTCAATTTGAAGCCATTCCCCCCTGTCCTATCACGACAGTCCCTCTCCAGTTCTCTTGTAGCCCCTTTAGGTACTGGAAGGTTGTTTGATACTGCACCTCTAGATGAGTTTTACGGGTGTATTTCAGATAAAAACAGATCGAACACCACTTTGTTGCTCAGCAAAGCACTTGATGTAAAGACAGAAGCACAACTTCCAGGGATTATTTTTAAGGATTCTGTGAGCTTCTCATCAGTACAAACCACGGTGACAGACATAAAACCTTCTCCAACAGAGCTGCCCTTTTATTTCAGACAAATTGAATCAAATGTGTGCATTAGAAGCAGCTGCTGAACCAGAGCATCAGGAAGGTAATTGCTCCATTAGGAAAAGTCAAGATGGAGACTTAATAAAATGAGATCTCCTATCAATCAATAGTTTGGAAATTATTTAAATTGTTGGGGTAGAGGAAATAAAAAGGCCTCTTGGTCTTCTGATTAAAACATTTTACTGCTTTGGGTACATGCAAGTATAACACAAAAAGGTATGAAAAAGAAAAGGGAAGCTTTATGTTCTAACTCAAGCCATTATAATAGCAAATTAAATTATATGCCCTTTAGGTTTATTTCATCATAATTTGATTTTTAAGAGAAAGCAACCAAGAATTGCTTATGGATAGAAACAATCCTATCACAACTAAATGTTCACTCTAAATATACTATGTTATATATTACTATGTTACATATACCACATTCTTGACAGACTTTGTGCTTCAAAGTAGTGTCATCACTACCCCACATCACTACCCTACAACAGAAAACAAAAAAATAATATTATAATTAAATTATTTTCAGATAGCAAAATTAAACTTCACTTCAAACTCTTCAGAAGGCCCTACATTTTGTGTGTTGTGTAAAAAGAAAGCCAAAGGAAATTGAACCAGCTTTGCACATGATTTGAGGATGGCTGTTTACATATTTACATTTAAATTTGTAAAGAAGTCGTGATGGATAGTCACTGCTATGCTAATTGAAGTGCTTAATTCCCTCTTTCTGTCATTTCTTGTTTTTAAAACAGAGATAGCAGAAGATTCTTTATAAAATCCCTTACAGGTTATCACAAAGCACATGACACATTGTGAGGTGCTGGGAAGCTAAGAAAATCATACATTTTCATCTCTGATGAATAAACAAGAGAAAAATGCAGTAATGAATCAAAATTCACACGTAAGTGAATTATCTCAAAGGTCATTGCATTTATGGTGCTCATTATATATTAATGAAATATGTTTAATGAACATCCTTCCAATTATGACTGCATGGTGTCCCATAGCAAAAACAGCCATCACAAATGTGTGAAGAGGATTAAGCCTCCCCATAACTTCTCAAATCAAGCTTGTGTGTGAATATTATATCAGACCCAGATCAGGACATTTAGCACTACATAAGTACACTTAAATCAACATTACAAAATACTAAATGAGTCAATAGTATCTATGGGTCATAATTCAAAGCTATTAACTTATCCTTTCTGAAATCATTAGTAAAATGTGGCGTTAATAAATGTTTCAGTGCCTTTGCAAACAATAAATGACTCATGATGTTGCCTATCAATTATAGTTAAAGAATACGCTGCATGTGTAATTTTCTTTTAATTTATATCTGCAAAATTGATCTAGAAATGTATGTGGCATATTAGGTAAGACAAATAAATAAAACAGGAAAAAAAGAAGATATTTTTGTCCCTTTTTCACTCACTCCACCTGGAAGTATGGTAAAGTCAATTCTAAGAATTTGCTGTTTCAGACTATGCAGGACTTCTTTACAGTCTTTAACAGGTATTTATCAGGTGTGAGATTTCTGTTCAAGTCATCCAGGAAGGTTCATGCTAAAACTATGCAAGTGAAACAAAGCACAAGTGTTTGCTTACTAGAAAAGCACCTAAAATTCAGATGACATTACAGCTTAACATGAATCCAAAAGAGCTCCACAGGAAATCTCTCCCTCACTGGAGTTAACTTAGAAAAGACTCTTATTCATCCCGTCACTTAATTAGTAAAATTTCATGATGAAGATAAATACATTAATAAATTTAACGTCATTTTAATAGAAAATGGTAGTTTCTTTAAAGAAAACCCACTGTACTTGGTGTAACTTTTTAAAATTGGAGGTTATATAGTTAAAATATCTGGCCTAATCCCATTGAGTTTTCTTCCCCAAGAGAAAATATTAACTTTGAAACTCAAGCAAAAAGTTCTCAATACACATGGATTTTGTTTAAGATCACATTTTCTTAAATGGAAAAAAAATTAGCTTCAAATAATTTAAAAGACATATTCTTTATCACTAGGTTTGTTACTTCTTTGAAAGAATACTTAATAAAACAGAGCATTTTGGTATAAATAAATAGACAGGAACTTGTTTGAGTGCTGCACTAATAATAGCAAAAAATAAAACATTCACTGCCTGAACACCAATTATTTTTTTTTTGTTCCCCAATGATGCTGAGTAACCAACTATAAATTAGGTTAAGAAACTTGCACATAAGCTTTGTCAGGGATGTCCATTTAGGAATCAAAACTAGGGGACTAAAGGAAATTTAATTGCATACACAAATCCCCTAATCCCAAGGACATACAATTAGCTACTTTTAAGCCTGCACACCTCACTGCTGTAAAGAAACACTGGAATGCCACTAATTCACACCAGATCTAAGGGAGTGTCTCAGCTAGAAGAAAACAGAAGAAAATTATGTGTCTGAAAAATAACCCACTGTGTGCAAGACATCACAAACCCCTCTGCATGGGGCTCATCTCCTCTCCTCCCTGCTCTGTCATGGCCCATGGGCTGCGCTGGGAGGAGGCACAGACAAAAAGCAGCAGGTGAAATGGGCTCTCAATAAGCCACCAGTTTACAGTCACCACTCATTCTGATGTCCCCAGGCTCATAAATTACTTCAAGTCATCTCCTACTGTGGCAAGACCCACGTATGTTTACATCACTGACGATGGTGTAGCAAGAGCTGGAGGTGGAAACAGGAGCTCTGTGCACCCCTCGTCCTGCTGAGCTCTCAGCAAGCCTCTCCCACCCGCTGGACTCCACATATCACTCTATGGTTGATGACTCACCCTTTTTATTTTTCTTTTCAAGAGTAGAATAATATATATAACCATTATTTGGCTCAGCCCATCACCCTTTTCCCCACCGTGAAGGACGCAGACAGAGGCAGACGGGCACATACAGTGGCAAACACCTTGTGGTGCAGCTGCTGCTGAGGTGGGCCAGATGCCAAGTGCACCTGTCATTTACTCATAACCCACATCCCAGAGTGAAACAAGAAAAGCACAACTACCCCTGCCATCATCTCAAGCTCTCCAGTGGGCTGAGACAGCCTCAAAAGCTGAAAGACAGAGCAAGTTAAAAATCTGACAGATAAGGTTCCCTCAGCCTTGAGCATCACTTTTAGGAAGACATTGCTTGGTCTGTGCTATTATGGCCTTTTAACAATGACAGATTCATGTAAGAAGTCAGGTAGCATTACCAGCTAATTACACATATCCTTATGCTTTAATTAGAGATATGCAAATATATCAGACCTGACCACTGCTACATGAAAGGCAGACACTGCTGTTTGAACTATTGAGTGCTGCAGAATATCTCCAGGGGGATGTGCTGAAAACGTGTGTCTGGTGTCAATATAATTATTGATAAACAGGAAAAGATGGGATGTTTCTTAAACAAATTATTCTTTCCTCTTCTTCCTATCAATACATATTTTAAGTAGTACCCTGGTCCCACTCCCATTATCTGGGCAAAGTACGTAACTGGGAAACAAGCTGCACATCTTATGACCCCCTAGCCCAGCTCTACCTCAAAAGGCAGTAATAAAAACCCAACATGAGACTGCCTGGGATATTATCAAACAGTAAATATCCCGCAGTGCTTCCCTCTGTTCCGTGTGCTGCCTTTACACGCATAGCTCTGCCCTCCTCACACACCCAATGCTCCCATTAATGGTAAAAGCATCTGTTATTTGGTGCTGATTGATTAACTCTAATGGAAATACTTGCATGTATCATGGGAAGAACACATACCAAAGCTTTTAAAAAAAGATAGAGCAAGGTCTTCTCAGGACACTGTGATGGGAAACAGACTAAGAGACCTAGTTTGAAAACAAATATACTGATGGCAACCAGGAACTTTTAACAAGCTGTTTGCCCAGACTCTCTGGGTGACATCTCTGATGTTAAATTGCACCTAGGATTAAACAGTGCTAAATACATTGCCAAATCAAAAGAGAATTGTCAATTAAAAGTGCTGAAAACACATACTGAAGGACTGCCCTTTGTATTTTTAATATTACAGTATGTTTGTATCAGTCCTCTATTGCTCCCTTTGCTCTTGTAAGGAACCTTGGGAATCTCTACCCTGTAACTCTAACACTTCCTTCACACAGCTTTTGCTTGGAACTCACAAGGCAGGTTGAAATCACTCATGTTAACTTGGCCCAAGTTACTATTCTATACCTACTTTCTTCAAAATTAATTTATTATCCAGAAGCACAACTGTCACTAATTTGATTTTCCACAACTTGCCACTAATAAACAAAGGCAAAGAACTCTCTCAGTGTCAATTTAGTAGCTTAATAACATTATCACACTCTGGTACAAAGGTAGTAAATACGATGTATGGGTAATTTTTGCTTACAAATCAGAAATTTGGTCTTGAACCACAAAACCTTGGCTCTTAGTAATGTTAAGTAGTAAATCCACCATTTCAGGTACAGGCAGACATTTTTCTACTAAACACTGATATAATTTGCTGTAGTGTTTCCTGTAGTGCTAAGAAGTGAAGAGCACGTGATGAACCCTTTATAAAAGAATTTTCTATTTATCCATGATAATTTTCTAATAGAAAGAGTCAAGTGGCAAAGCTCATACATATTGCTGCTCGTTCACCCCTCAGCTGCAGATTTTCTGATAACTAAGAAAAATCAGTGCCAGAAAGACTAACTGTGGTCATTCCACAGACCTTCTTATTGACACTAACATGTTACCTAATGATCACTGGAAAATTCCAATTATCGAAGCTGCACAATCTCTTCAGCAAATACATTATCCATTAAAACCCAATTTTGGTTAATCCATCCCTAGTAATGACTTTGAATTGAATATACTAAGCAGCATAAATTTAAAAACATGTTTTGTCATAGGCAAGTCTAGAAAACAAAATAACGTGTCAGCGGTGGTTTTGGACTCCCCAGCAGCTCTCTAGTTCAAACTCTGTGCTGGCCGCATCCCAAGCTGTTATTGGAATGAATCCTTGCACAAGCCTGAAATCATCAGCTCTTAGGACATGCCAAGGTGGCTCCTCTTCTGCTGACAGGATTTCACTTGACTCCAGTGTCTGCTGGCTGTGCCATTCACCTGGAGGGGAAGCACTAAGTTGTTGCACCAAGTAATAAGCTGGATTTTTGTTTGTTTTACAAGGTTGTAAGAAAAGAAGAGGTTAAGGCAGCCCTGTACTGAATACTGCATCTAAATGCTCTTGGACCGCTCCAGTAGGTGCGGGTCCATACCTCATTACTTGAGGATGGGGATCCAAAACAGGTTCTCTCACATGCTGGGTACATATTTCAACCACTGGAGTAGTGACTGGCAACCTCCTCTTTTTTTTTTAAATGAAAAATGGTGATTGTACCATCATTTGTTCAGATTTCCAAAGTGGAATTAAGGCCATTTATTTAACAAAGAGAAAGATAAATCTTGTTTTCTCTTTTCTTCACCTCTTGCCCTTCCCCATGTGACAAAGCAGATTTAAAAGAGTCTGCTTTGACTGATACCCCACTGCACAAATAATGTCAGCTTTCTTCCAAACAAGTGTCATTTGCTTTTCATCCTCTAGGTAAGAGACACATGCTAGTGCAAAACAGTGATGAAGTTGGTAAGTCAGCCTCCATTAGTTACAAACACCAGCACAGAATTTTAGAGTGGGATTAATGGTGGAATAAAAAGAAATAACCAGATTTCACATAATTTTACTAATTAACTTGATCCTTACCACCCTTTAGCTCAGCATGTTTCATGATGTGACAACGCAGGTGACTGCTGTGAGTTGTAGGATGCATCTGGGAAGTAGATTTCTAAGTTTAACAGCTCCCTTTAGTAACACTTCCAGGTCAAATATTAGACACAGAGACTCCTTTGTGGTGTGAAACACAAATTAGCCTACATGACAAAGCACCTGAGTATCAGTAAAATCACAAGCAAAGCTTTTAGTTGCCTGACAGCAGAAATCCCACTGATATTTGAGGGTTAGTCCAATTGAACAAGGGGCAGAACTTCAGCTGCAGCTTACACAACAGCACTGCAAAATCAGCTTTGATTTCTCCCTGGGCCAGTACTCTGGTGGCAACTTGGTGCTCAATGCAATGAGAAGCTCTGTAAGATCCAAAATTCTTGCTATAGATAGAAGCTTATCGAGGGGTTGGTTCAAGTTTGTCTAAATTTGATCTGCTTAGAAGAAAGAAGGGAAAAGTCTTAATTAAAAGCAATTTGAAGCCCATTGCGGTTTCTTGCCACTAAGTTACACAGATTTTCTTCAAAGATCCACAATATTCTACAGGCTTGATCTAAGGAGAATAGAGCAGTACCTGCTTAAGGATTTAAAAGCAAAGCTTAGAGTTCCCAAAGCAGTTACAAAACCCTGAGAGGTAGCAAGAGACAAAGGAGTGTTGGTGTGAGCAGCACCTGCTCCAGAATGGGATCCATAGGAAACACAGGTGTGACCCTCACCTACCCACAGAGATTTTGTGAGCCAAACACAAGGGGACAACTGAGGATCCTCTTACTCCTCACACTCACTATTAATTAACAGCAACTGCCAATTACAGCAGTGTAATTATACAAATAATAATCCTTCAAAGCCATAATCCTATTGCAATCAAAAATATCCAAGGACAATGTCAGGGCTTGGCTTTCTTACATATTAATGCATAGAACTGACTGGAATGCAAAAAAAAAAAAAAAAAGAGGCACCAAATGCTGGTAAGCCCAAAGACAAAAAAAGAAACACCTTGACATTTCCACTGAAGAGTTACTTTCAGGTAACAATCTTTATTTCATTATGTCAGGTAATATATGCTATTATATCTAGAAGAATAGAAGATAAAATTAGTAAGTGAAACCCATTGTTAAAGATTCAATTAAAAAAAAAGGCACAAAATGGATATGAGAATGCTGTGATCCAAGGTACAAGTGAGTAGTAAGAGCATAGCATAACTCAAAAACATGAATGTAGGGGAGGAAATTAAAAAGAGCAACAGAGGTCTTTGCACTGTGGAAATAGATCAGGCTGAGCACTGAGAACAGGGGAACTGCAGTAACATCACACCAGCTCCTTCTTTTAATAACGTATTTCCAAAGTTAATATCAAGTTACAAATTAAGGTAGTAATAAAACAGAAGTTGCAATTTAGATTTGGATGGGGTGACTATCCGCATAGGATCACCACTACACCATGAATACAAAAACGTTCTGCTGAATAACACAATTCTAAGTGAAGTTAACATATGTTAGAGATCTAATTTTTAATTTTTTTCCCAAGAGCAATTTAATCTGCAGCCAAATTATTTCAAATGACCTTCAAATACAACCACAATCAAATTAACTTCTGTCAGATTCCCAGCTCCAAACCTAGCTCCTCTGATCTCCCTTGGGTTCAGGCCTTTTACTTTGGAAACCCATTTTTCCCAGTCAGCATTTAATACCAAATATGATGTATCTTACAGCGTCAAGGAAGTTACCAGGCAAGTTCTGAAAAGCATTTGCCCCAACTATTTTTCAATTCATTGAAATAGGTTGCCCAGAGAAGCTGTGGATGCCCCATTCCTGGAAGCGTTCAAGGTCAGGTTGGAAGGAAGTCGGAGTAACCTGGTCTAGTGGGAGGTGTCCCTGCCCATGGCAGGAGGGTTGAAACGAGATAGTCTTTAAGGTCCCTTCCAACCCAAACCATTCTGTGCTTCTGCAATTTGCTTGGTTAAAAACATAGGAGTTGGGGAAAAAAAAATCAAGATTGGCTGAATAAGGACAAGTTTAAAACACAACAAAGGTTGGATTTCTAACCCAGCAATTTTAGAGCTTGTACTATATAGGGTCTTTAGTCTCTTCAAGGCTACCCTTTTCAACAAAAGAGCACTTAAAAAATGTTTCCTTGGATCAACTTCTGTGTGTTTAAGGAAGTCAAAAGTATTTTCAATATGTTAAATCTAAATTTTCTACTACACTGTGCACAACAAATGACCCAGTAACAAAATTGAGTAAAAATGTCTTCACTCCAATTTAATGCTAAGAAGTCCTACAGCTAATGCATGTCGATGTTATGCATGTCAATGTTAACTTAAGCCCTAACAAAGTGAGGGTGTTTGAGAGATTAAGAAGTGCTTATATATTTTTCTTCCCTTTACAAAGTAGTTTGACATATGATATGCATTCTTTTAAATCAGTACCTGCTCTACTACTACTTAATGTATTGAGTTTATATAAAATCTGGGGAAAATGATGGCATTTTCTGGAAAAAGCTTTCAAGACTCAAGACAACTGCTCATTCCAGCACTGTGCAGAGACACCTATGTAATTCCCTTCTCCACATCCCTATTAAATTCTGAGTGATTACAAATTCAGTAACTCTCAGTAAGAAAGCAGCACAAATGCTGCCAAGGAATCTTGATAAAAATGCCCCCAAGAAAGGCATGGGGGAAACAATTACTTTTCTAATGGATGGAACAGCAAGCTAAAGCCTTCAAAATGATTGAAAATACTAAGTTAGAATAGACTCATTACAAATAAGACATAAAGAAGCATGTATAGGACCACATGCTTGTTAGAGCTTGAACAACAGGAACCTGGTTTCCATGGTCCTGCTGTGTAGAGTGGAGATTTTTCAGTCCCCACTTGTTTACAGTGATTTTTTTCTTTTTTTTCGACAAAATATCATGACCTTTAAATACAGTGATCACAGGTCCATGCTACAGCCTCCACTCTTGCCCTGCAACCTTCTCCACTAGGTACCTAGATAAGAGGAAACGTCACTCTAAATCATCTGAACGGGGGGGAGAATATATCTAAAAACCTGCAAAGAGTATTCAGGTGATTACACAGCCAGACAAACTGGAAAAAATAGTTATTATGCCTTTTGACTCCCTGAATATATTTTGTACCCATAAAATTCAGTATCTTTTCTGGGGTTGGGTTATTTTTTTCTTTTCTTTTCCTTTCTCTGTTTTTTTTTTTACTCTTTTTCTTCCTTCAAGGCACAGTAATGCTGACATGGGAGCTTGTTTCGCTTGAAGCAGGCAAAAAAAGAAAAGGATTTTTGCTGCAGCACTGCCTCTCACCTCCCACACAGCCCGTACCTACTGTACCACGGCGCGCGTTCCAGCTCCCAGCAGCACGCTCCGGCAGCAACGCCAGGAAAACTATTTACCCAAGGAAATAGCTACGATAAGAGGACAAAAATAGCCCTAAATGATGGAAAGCATTTTGTTGATAGATATGTTGAAAAGAAAGGAAATGGAGTTGTTAAAAAAGATAAAACGTGAAGTGAGGTGCAGGAGGGGGGCCAGCGCTGCCCTGGCTGTGGCGGGAGATCTGGCAAGGGCGGCGTGTTCTCTCCTCTGCTGCGCTCACACCGATGGCTGGGCCAGCTCCAGAGCCAGCCAGCTGCCCTTGACTGAAGGCCTATTGCAAAGACATTGCCTTACAAAGCTCTCCCATTTACTTTGCCCCCAGAACCACCAGGTCAAAATTAACTACACCCACACTTGCCTCTGGGATGCACAGTAAAACCCACATGTGTGCTCCGGGCTATGTTGAAGCCCACGAGCTTCATCAGAGAATCCTGTTCAAATAAAACCTACTTGTGGATCCAATAGCTTATGGAGAGGAACATTAATATAATTTTAAGCTATTTTTGTTGGCATTCAGGCCCTCTGTGCAGAGGAAAAGGACAAAACCCAAACCAAAAAAAAAAAAAAAAGAAACCCACCTAAACCCCAGCAGTACAGAAAGAGAGAAAGAGGTTGCTTACTTCACCTGAAATAAATCCCTTATTTTGCCAATTTAATAATATTCATGCCCATATTAGGCAAACAAAACAGATGATTTCTGCCTCTTGGTTTTTGAATATTGACTTTCTAAAGTTCAATATCTTCCATGGGCAACAGCAAGATCCATTTATTGCTGCAGAAGAAAAATAGCAAGGTGCCTTTATAGTGCAAGGGGAAACTAAGAGCAAAAAACACAGCAACTACTGACTGTGAAAAGAGGGCAGGTTTAGATTGGATATTAGGCATAAATTCTTCCCTGTGAGGGTGGTGAGGCCCTGGCACAGGTTGCCCAGAGAAGCTGTGGATGCGCCATCCCTGGAAGTGTTTAAGCCCAGATTGGACAGGGCTTGGAGCAACCTGGGATAGTGGAAGGTGTCCCTGCCCATGGCAGGGGAGTTGGAACTGGATGATCTTTGGGGTGTCTTCTCCAATCCAAACTATTCTGTGGTTCTATTACAGATATTCTGCTCCTTAAATGATAACTTTTTCTATTGGGGAAAAGTGCTTCTATTTGAGGGAAAGCCTTAAGCAGACACTAAAGCCAAACTCAGTGATACTTTGGCATATATTTATTTCAAATACTTGAGTGTGGGGGTTTTTATTCATATCTGAGCTGCAGGATCTGGTGCAACTGCTCAAGTCAGTGTACACTTCACTGATTTAATGAAGGTTTGCATGATATCTGTAGTACCTGGGTCCACTGGTGATGTGAAGTGCAGAAAGGCAGTCATCCCATAACATGGGAAATGGAGAGCTGGATACTTGACAGTTGAATAAAGAGAATCCACATTTAGACAGTGCATGTGGTAGGTAAGGGGGATATAGTGCTTCCATTTCTCCTTTAAAGTGAGAAGAAAATACTGGAATACAATCTAGAGTAAACTATTTATGCCACGATTATAAATATTACAGAAAGTGCATTCTGTTGTGCTGCTGTCGCCTTCCTTGCATCCCTAAAAGCAGCTGTACAACAAATAGTTTTAGAATGGATTTTTCTGAGCACATGTGTATAAGCACAAATGACAAACACGTTTGCAATTTTTATTTGCAGTCACTTGAAACAGTAAAAAATTATTTTGGGAAACATTGTGTCTCTGCTGCTACACAGAGACCCTGCAAACGTTTACACACTAGATGAATATTGTCTTCAGGAATTTATGATTAGTAGCAGCATTCTAAGCAGCTACTACACATGCTATTATAATTTCAAAGTGATTTCCCTGTAATTTTTGCAAGATGTAGCAGAATTTTAATTACAACTTCTAAGGGATAGATTTGTCCATCATAACATGTAGGTAATTTGTCTCCCTCCCATTTCAAATAAATGAGCTCTGAGGCATTCAAATGTGGGAGCTACACATCCTACTGAGGGTAGGTAGCTATGAGATACAATCTCCCCTTAAAAGGCAGGAAATGAAAGGACATTTCACATATGGCCAAATATATATAAATATATATTTTTAATATGTATATACATACACACACACACACTGCTTAGCACCATTAAAACACTTCATCTATTGTCTGGCATGATGCATTGTATGGAGAGACTGTCCAGATGAAAAAGAGTTGCTTTCCTAAGCAGAACTTTATATTGTATAAACATTTCCATATAAAGAATGTACATGGAATTCCCAATGTCTTATTCTAAATGAAGACTGCCCTTAGCCATTGCCTTAACAATGCCCCTAATAATTCAGCTGGCCTCAGCTAAAAACAAAGAAGTCTATGTTCTGACTGTACATTAGATGTGCTGGGAAATCCAAGTTCAACATAAAGAGAGGGAAAATCCAAGACTATAGACTATGAAGCACTGAGTTACCTGTGAGCTGTTACTCCCAGCTCTGACACCTGCCAATATTTTCCATAGTTGACTGTTCATATACCTGTGAATATGAAACCACAGTAAACAACTAATAATTTTAGAAAAAGACTTCAAAGTATGGAGTGAGGATTGCAGTTTGTTCCAGAAGCACCTTGTCAACTAACTATCAATATTTGAAAAACATTACAACTACAACCTAAAATCTATGTTTTGTCCCTTTAAATAAAACAAAGCAAAAATTACAAAGACACTTCATACTTTTTTATGCATTTCTTTAAGTGCAATAGAAACCAGGTTGCCACTTTATCAGCATCAAAGCCCAAATTAGATCAAGGCGTGTGGAGGTAATAACGGCAGCAACAGATTCCCTTCCTACTCCTTTCATGGTTAAGTGAAGTTTGTTCCTTTTTTATTTTCTAAGTATGGTTAGGCGCCTCAAGCATGCTTGTTAGGATGGAAAAAGCGTGCAAATCCCAGACCTAGGACCCTGCCAAAAGTCTCTTTAGACAGTCAAGGCAGCCAGAAGTATGCTGAGAGCTTGCCAGAGCCATATTGGGTGGCTAAAATTAAATAAACAGTTAATAAAAAGATTTTGAATCAATCTAAATAAATACAAACTTATAGCATAACTGCCTTATCTGCTTTATAAAAGAGGATCTAAGGCAGCAACCAAGCCTGTGAAATGCTTCGACATCTACAAGTTTTGCACAGCAGATTTAAACAGAGGAGTACTTGCTATTATCTCTTTCATAAGATGAGGCTTACATTTGAAAAAAAAAAAATCATTGACTGCTCTGACAGGGATTTCTCTTCCTTTAAAACACAAACTCGCTCTGCCCCCTGTTGTCAGCAAATTACTCCTCAGCCCTTGCAGCAACAGGCCAACAGCAGGACCCCAGTGCCCAGAATACCCAGAGTTAGTTCAAAAAAAAGGCAGCATGTCCCAAAGGAATATGTTTCTGCACAGTGAAAACTGTTCCTAAATCTGTGTGCTTGAGGCACTTTGTTCTCTCTGTTTGGTATATTATTATTTTTGAAAAATATTACCATGAACATCAAATCAAGTGTACACAACTGGCCAATGTTTTGGATATTAAAAAATATTAGCTGCTTTAGGAAGAGAAAAAGTGTTTGAGGAAATTAAAGACGAGTTTCATCAAGGTTCAGAAGCCCTTTCTTTTCCTTTACCTCTGAATCCTTATACTGAATAAGGCAAAGATTCTGAGTCCAGCCCTTTACCTTCTTAGCTGTAGTGTGAGTTTATATCCCAGTTTTGGTAAGTGAAATGAGTGCAACAATTTGTCACTGATGTTTTCCATATCACAAAATCATGCAAATTGGCTGTAGCCAATCTGTAGTGATGAGATTAAAAACAGATTTGCACCCATCAGAATAACTCAGGGAGCTTCCCAGACTTCTCCTGCCTGTTGCTTTTGAGCTACTCAGACCTTCCCTGGTACCGAGGGGAGAGGAGGATAACCAAGAGGGAAAGAACTTTTCGGGGATCAAACATGATCCAACAGAAAAGGAATAACCAAAATCTTAGATCACAGCATTCCTAAAGAATACGTTGCAATCCCTTCAAAAATAAAGGGGTTGATAAAACAAACTCACCAGTGACTGAAATACACAGTTCCTACCTCCAAGTACAGCTAACAATAATATTTGCACTCCTGTGTCCTTCTTGGAATAAAATTGTTTAAATAGGCAGAAGGAATGGCTTAGTGGGCTAATCTCAAGTGAAATACTCCTTAAATCCACAGGTTTAAATGCCAGTGGGGTCACTTTGCTCTTCTCCTTTCCAGGACAGAACAGATGAACTGCAAGAAGCTTATGCCATGGAGCTCAGGGATAGCTGTGGCTTTCGGGGGGTGCAAAAAGAGAGACTGTTTATAACCCACATAAGCAACTAGAAATAAGTTACATCTATCCTAAAAAATCAAGGTTTGTCTGTTGCCCCAGAATATATTTTCCAGTTGTAGTTCTTCTCCTCCTCAACTACCATTGAGAAACAATTCCAATTTACTGACTTTCAGTACTCAGCCTCCATTTTCTACAAACACTTCTAAATTTCACTGATATATTACTTTAAAGTCACTGGAATGGCTCACTTGAAATTCAAAGCAGGACTAATATCTACATGTATTTATTTACAAGCATCCTCACTAGCTGCCCTTTGGCCAGTGTCTTTTGATCAACTCTATTTTGTTTGTGAATTTATACCTAGCAAAAAAAGAAATAACACAATCCTAGAAAATAAAACAAAATTAAATAATGTTGGAGAAGTTACCGATACTTTCTGTTCATCTACAAATACCTGCTTTTAAATAGCTTATTGTGGGTTTCAATGTTTCCTCACATTGAGCACAGGAGAAATCTAAAGATTTCTCAAGAAGCTTATTTTGGCTTTGCCTGTTGTATTAAAGTGTCCTTAAAATCAGAGCTATTGCTCTGAGTCTTGTAGTTTTGGTGATTATTTCCCTATCCCAAAACAAGCCTTGGCAGGACACTGAGGCCAAGCACCTTCTAATTCCCTGAGCAGAAAAGAGAGTGGAGATGAATATATACATACATTAATGTTTGAGTCCACTGTTTGAATAGGAACTAAGGATTTTTAATCCTTTCTACATTTTTAGCTAATACACTCTTTTGAAGTGCACATTTAGAAAACATCCACAGCATAACGGGCTTGTTATAAAATACATGTACAGCAAGCTGTGCCTGATACCTGTAATAAACATCACTCTTTCCCTATAAACCTAATTTGGAAGTTGTTGGAAAAGATGAGAAGGGTGTATGAAGGAGAATGATTTAGCAGATAACCCTTATTACATGCAATCCTTACCTTTAATTGCACAACAACAAAAATGCCCTAAATTCTGCATTATGAATCTGGCAAGAAAGCATTGCACAAGTCCTTGGCCAGCTTTTCTTTATTCAGACACTCAGACAACAAAATTGAA